ATGAAATTTTCAGTTTGGGATCTTTTATCAAGTAGAAAATAAAGTTTAAATTAATCCACTAGAGGGCAACAAAGGATCATATCATCAGTCTCAAAAACTAAGAAACCCAAGCAAGTCTGCTAATTTTATTCTAAGATCCAGGTCAACTTTTCACAACATTGCAGACTGAGTCTTTCATTATCACATACTTTTCAACTTGACTTTATTTAAACTGTAGTTTAAAGTAGATCAAACATATATATTCTGTCTTGTTCTTATCAGGGTTTATTTTGTCATAATCTGGAACATTATTTCCCTTCTTTGCAAACAATTGAAGATATTTATTCCTTCTTAGAATATGATACTTTGTGCACATCAGGAATTTAGTAAAGTGGATACTGTGCAGTTAATGCTACAATCTTAATTCATGATAGATTAGTTTAAAACTAGAAGTTCAGAAAAGTACATGGGGATTCAGAATCTTACCCATAATTAATTGGTTTTAGCCTTGGTTCAATGTATTTTGTTTTCTGCACTGTGCTCATTTGAGTGGTTACTATAGGGATCCACTTTGCTTTCAGTGGTTCCTTTGTCCTTGGATTCTTTCTCCAGTTTCTGTTTATCTTTTCCTCCTTTATCCATGACTTTTGCTCTTCAGTGCTTGTTTCATTTTGCCATAATCAAGAACATTCTGTCTGCCTTCTTTGGAAGCAACTGAAGATGCTTCTTTATTCTTAGAATATGATCTTCTATCCACACTTTACCAAAGCAACTACAGCACAGACTAAATTTTTCTAAAAGCAATTAGCTTCAGTTTCTCCAGCTATAAAGGAGAGATCCTAACAGAATCTTCCCCTCAGTGATGTCATGACAACCGTGTTGTTACATGTAAAGCCCCTGGAATGGTGCCCACACAGCTAACAACGGATAAATCTCAATCATCACTATAAAACTTTGAGGCACACATCTTTTCTTTGTATCCATAAATATTTAGTCATACATCAATATCTATACCATAACACACACACACACACATATATATATAAATATAAAATACTATATCCCCCCCATCATATATACATTCATTGCTTTAAGCTTTACTTTTCCTATGGGATAGAATTGCCTGGTATGGTAGAGTGTAGCAGTTAAAACCTCCGGCTGTAACTGGCCCATGAACGCTTGCAGGCACCATTCATATTCCTGACCCTTAAGATATCAGCTTCTGTGTTAGTCCTGATTGTGTGCTTACTGTGCATGCATTGGACATGAAATGGGAGAATAACCAATGCAAAGCCCTGAGCTTCAAAGGGAACTCCAGGTTTCTAGTGTTTGCATTGGTTTTAGATAGGCTGTAAGGCCAAGGTGGCCTACAAATACACAGGATTGGCAAGGATGACCTTCAACATCTTGTCCTTTGTCTCCACCTCCCAGGGGCTAGGGGTTACAGGTATTCTGCCCTGTACAGGTGTGGGTTTCTGTAAGCAGAGAAACTGGAGTACAGAACAGGGCTCAGGACAAAATGCAGGTTTGTCTACTCACAATGAGGACCGTGGACATATGCTGAGGTCTCAAGAGGGTTCTGAGTGTTAAATCTCATCCAGAGTATCACAGACTGTTTTAATCCTGATGTTTAGCTGGATATTTGGAATTTTAAAGATCAATAAAGTTTTGATGTTCTCTTGGTTAAAAAAAAAAGGGCCAGGAAGTCTGTTGTGAAAGTTTGTCTCCTAGAAATGATAGGGTCACTGTATCCATGATACCCCAACAATAGAGCTGCATAAAAAGACTTGAAAAATGATGACATCAATAGATACGCTAACCTGGAAGGGGGAAATCTCATAGGTCCCACTCCTAGAGAAAGAACTACAGGCAATTAACAACAACTGAAAGGGGAGAATTAGTCTCTACAAGGGATGAGCCCTCTGAGAGGTGTCCAGTACCAAGAAAGTGCTCATTCCTAAATCATGTATATATAAGCAACACTAAATATACTAAGAAAATAATATTTGTATCTTTATATATCTATTTCTATATTCTATCAGCAAAGATTTTTTTTTTTCAAGACAGGGTTTCTTTGTGTAGTTTTGGTGCCTGTCCTGGATCTCACTCTGTAGACCAAGCTGACCTCGAACTCACAGAGATTTGCCTGGCTCTGCCTCCTGAGTGCTGGGATTAAAGGTGTGCACCACCACTGCCCGGCACAATGTAATATAATTTTTATGCTTATCTCTTAACTATGTCTAATATTAATTAGGTTCATAGAGATAGGTAAAGAGCCCTATGAACAAAGTAGAGTAGTGTGATTTATACCTTGCCTATAGAATTAATTGTATTATATTGACATTTCCACTCATTAGACATACCCTGGGCATCTCATACAATATTCACAGGCTTAATTTCTTCCTGCACAAAATGAGAATACTATACATAATTTATATTGTTGTAGGGAACAATCATGAAATATTGCATATAAACACATTTAGCACAATTCTGACACATATTTTGTCTTAGAATATTATTTATCATCTCATTATTATTATTGCTATTACTGAGTCTAGTACACTACTACTGTGCTTAAAACATTTGGAGTATTGCTCATGGGAGGTTAAGTATTTATTGAATTTGAGCTGTTTGTCAAGTTCAGAAGTTCATTTTACTCAGTAAATTAGCTCATGCGTCAAGGCAAGTCTCCACATATCTTCAGACCATGTTTCCTTACTCCAAAAACTAAGGAGTGTCCCATGTTTCTTGCCTACAGGCTCGTGTTAGCTGTAAAATTTAAAAGCTGTTTTGGTAATACTCCACATGAGCAAGATAAGCCAGAACATAAACTCTTCCTGCAAATACTCTGCAACTCTGAACTCTGTGGTCTTAGATGACTCTCGTTAAGGAATGTGATTTTAAATTATGTTCGGCCACACCTAAATTAGGAAATGTCTGGTCATAAATAAGAGCTCCTCCCAAGGCTCGCCTGCTGGTATATCATCTTGCCTGTCTCCCTCTTCTCTTTTTCCTTCTTTTTTCTTCTTCTGACTTACTTTTAGAAGTGATAAGACTTCTGCTATCATGTTCTGGCACAAATAGTTTTCAGTGAGTAGTGTAATTTTGTATACCTTAAGAAAGTTGAGTGATTATTATGAATGCAAGCTAAAATTTTCAAAAATTTGAATAATTCCTTTTCTGTATAAGTATTTTCTTTAGTTCTTTCTTGAAGAAAAAATATTTTCATTCTTATAATTCAGTTTTTTTTTCTTGCTGACTTCAAAAACTTATTATGAAGAAAAGAAAAAGGGGAACCTTCATTAGGTTTTCATTCCTCTAATCCCTTTAAAATCATTTTATATTAAACTTACTACTTCTTTGTCTACTTATACTTGTATTTTTAAGTTTTTCATATCCAGTTGTACATATATTTTTTATCTCCACAAAGAACGACACGCCCCCTCCACCTGCCACTGGCTCTTTCTTTGTTTCATCAATACCAGGTCCTGTATTGGGACTTAACTTGTGTTAAGTTTGAGAAAACTGACCAATAAGCATTGCTCATACTTTAAAGAAAGAAAATAGAACGTAAACCTTAGCTAAATAACCTCATTTCAATGCAACCTAATTTTAGTATGCATTGTCCACATAGGAGTAACTATGTTTTTCTCCAGGGAAATAAAAGCATTTCAGTTTTCCCCATTTCTTCTGCCACATGACACATACTAATTAAATACCCTTTCTCACAAATTAGTGAGAACACATTTACTTGGTACCTGGCAATACTTAGTGAATTCTGCATAGCAGTTTTAGTTTTTAGAGACATGGACAGTTTAGAATGTTTAGACAGATTTCTGGTTTTACAGGTAACATTTTTTGCTGGATTATTAGGAACTCTTACTTCCTATTACATTCTTATACCCTGGTTTACCATACAGAGCATTAGAAAGCATAAAGACAATTTATTCATCTATTAATAACAGGTTCTTTATTATTTGCAAGAATTTGGTCGTGTTTTCTTCAGTAATCTGATTTTTGAAGAGTCAGCTTCTGTAGGACAATTAGCCAAGAGCAACATAATAACCAACAGAATAAATGATAATTCTTTCTCGATTGCAGTGAGAGAATTCTTAGTTTGTACATAATAAATCCCAAGTAAGAAAAATTTAGGTATCTTCCACCTATGTACGTTTCATAGCTCTTAAACATTCTCTCAATTAACCACTGAATCCATTGCAACCAGAGCAAAAGGGAAAAAAAAGCTGCAGGAGCTGAACATGAAGGGAGCACACCCACAAGCCCTGTGACGTGGGAGGCTGAGGCAGGAGGCTTCAGGTTTGAGAACAGCCTTGGCAATATAACAAGACACTATTTCAAGTCCACTGAAGAGAAGGAATGAGAAAGAAGGAGCGTTGGGCATATATTCAGTTGTGAGAAGAGGATTTAGGGGGCATTTACCATGTAGTACAGATAATACTAGATATTTTAATACATTATTCATCTGATCATCACGAAAGCAAGTGAAGTAGGCATTTATCCCATTTTATGAATAAATTCAACAGAAACTTAAAGAGGTTAAGAAGTTTGCCCGAGAAGACAAAGCAGTCAGGGCTGAAGTCCATTCTCTGGCTTCCAGAGACCCAGGTCTTTTTTTTTTTTTTCTAAATAAACATAAAGGTTTTAATTTTAACATAATATAACTACATACAACAAAAAATATCAAATAAGAATTAATTTACAATATTCAGGACATTTGTAGGTAGCATAATCAAAGAAAATAATGCATTATCTATCCTATCTTAGTGAATCCAAAGTTTTACACCTAACTTACTTTTTACCATAACAAAGAGAAACTGCAACTGTAATTATCTAATCTTCAACTCCATCAAAGACCCAGAAGGGCGTAATATTATCTAACAACAGAGACATTTGGCTGCCTGGACAGTCACCCATTAAAGGCCCACACAGCAGGTGCTGCCTCAACTCAAGATTAGATACAAAATAACCATATTCACACACATTAAGGAATAACAGTTTACCTGTGGTCCTGCAAACACAATACTGAGTATCCAGGCTAGGCCGATCATGGACTGTTCAAGCTTGCTGTTGCTTTGTACAGCAAAGGGCCGAGTGATGGCCAGGGAGCGGTCCAGGCTAATCACTGCCATCATGAAGGCTGGGGCATACATAGAGAAGAGCTTCAGGTAGCTGAGAACTTTGCAGAGGAACTCCCCAGCATACCACTGTACTGTGATGTTCCACATGCCATCCAATGGCATGACAATCAGAGTCTCCAGCAGGTTGGCTAAGGTCAAATGCTTTAAGAGCACCTTCATTCTGGAGAGCTTTTTCCCTTTCTCCCTCTTCTGAGTCCACTTCTGCAGCTTCAACAAGAAAGATGCATTAAAGGCGGTAGAAAGGAGGAAAAGGAAGAACGTCACTGTTACTCGGACCTTTCCAGATAAGGTTAGAGAGGGGAGCTTGCCCTGTATCAAAGGGATGCTGTTGTTGATGGCTGAGCAAGGATTTTGGTTCTGCTCAAGAGAATCATTGTTAGCCATATTTCTCCAGTGACAGGCTTCAAGAATTGAGTCTCTGTAACGTCTGATGTTTTATTGTAACTGAACACAAAGCGCTGTTTTATTTCTGCCTTCCCCAGAGAGAAACGTCACAGGTTTACAATTATGTCAAATTTATTTTCCCCAAGATACTCTGGACTTAATGTGAAAGATCAAGGTGAACTTGTTTTGTGGGTTTGTAATCTAAAAGAGTGCTAACAGAAGATGTCAAGCACACTCTGAAGGCCAAGTGTAACTGGACCACCTCGGCAGATGGCCTGTTTTTCACAGCGTTTTATCGTAGGCGAAGAAGGACACTTGAAGTCTGATTTTGAAGCTAAAAGTGACTCATAATATTGTTCAATTAACTTTAATGAATACATTTCCTAAAAAACCGTTGTGACTAGACAGGTGCAACAGAAAATACAGAAAATAATTAAAAAAAAAACTCCGATCCAGTTAAAAATCTGTTGTTTGAAGACCACATTTCTCAAAACAATTATTTTTCTTTTTTCTATTTATTTCTTTATTTTACGTCCTGACCACATTCACTCCTTTCCCCCTCCACCCTCCTACCTTCCACCTTCCCACTCCAAGCCACCTCTCTTCTGTACTGGCTCAGAAAGGGGTCGGCCTCCCCTGGGCATCATCAAAACAATTGTTTTTCAAGGAAACATTGTTGAGTAGTCCCAGACGGGCATATCTGTTAACTTAAAACTATCCTACACAAGGCCTGAAGCTAGTACTTCAACTGTCACATACAGCCTGTTCTAATACAAACTAATCTAGAGTCAAGTTTATCAATCAGTTTTCATTATCAGAGTAGCCATGCTGAAATTATAGTAACATGATTTTTTGTTATTGTGTTGATTTTATAATTGTGTAAATATTTTTTTTTTTTTTTAAGATTTATTTATTTATTATGTATACAGCATGAATCCCTGTAGGGCAGAAGAGGGCACCAGATCTCATTACGGATGGTTGTGAGCCACCATGTGGTTGCTGGGAATCGAACTCAGGACCTCTCGAAGAGCAGTCAGTGCTCTTAACCTCTGAGCCATCTCTCCAGCCCATAAATATTTTACTTGTTATTGTTGCGCAAAATTGGCAGGGAAGCTAGATACTGAAGCAAAACTAGATACTTGCATAATTATCATAACTGAATTAATTATATAATATGATTATTTATAACCCTTTATGTCATATAATCTCCTCACATTGAGGCCACTAAGAATCCTTCTCTGTGTTAGTTGATGATACTATTAGCCATAGAAATGTTGGTATGACTTCCACTGGAATTTAGTAAGTCACAGTTGGTTGTTATCAGATCTCCAAGTCGTCTGCTTCCATCACGCTCAAATCAGGGGCACTATTAGGACAAAGGCAGCCATTTTGGTTTCGATGGTGCGTTTTTGCTGGTTTATTATTTTTTATACTGTATGCTATTCATTTATTTAGCAAGGAATTACTGAGTATCTACTCACTCCATAGACTTCCTTAGCTTTTGTTGGTAATAAGGCAGTTTTGTGGATCTATCTATATCCATCTATCTCTCTATATATACATATATTATGAAGAAAGTCATAAATCAAGGGAAGTTTAAAATCCGTGAGTGGGTACATTAGAAAGGCAGTCACAGCAAGGTGGGGGAAACTTTTCTGTAGATCTAAGATGCTATCTGATGACTGTCTTAGCTTTTGGGTTAGTGGCAACCAGTTGCCTGCTAAGTTATTAGACTTCCCAAAGCTTTTCTGTATTAGCTACAGGATGTTAGTTCTGATAACATACAAACAAGGACCAGGAATAGATGCTCTGGGGCTAAAGCCAGCTCAATATAAGGTAATTAGCATCCGGACCTGCAACCTTTCAAGTTCTCCACATACGGCAGCTTTAGTTAGTCAGACTTTGTAAACATAGCTTCTTTCCAGGAATTTTTGTTCATGTGAGACATATGGTTTTTAGAAAACTGCAACTCATCTATCACATTTATTAAGGACAAATGCAGTACAAGTGTGCAGTTGGCCCTCATTGTTTGCCACGGTTATGTCCCATAAACTTCTGGAAACCGAATTAATGAACATCAGCTATTATTCCTAGCAAAACAAAGAGTGAGGGCCTATGAGCCAAGGCCGCTTGCCAAAGCCCTGGAAAGGCAGCTGGTCTTATCAGAACCACAGCCTGTTCTTCCTCATAATGCTTTCCCTGAATAACAATTGACAGGCATTTAAAAAATTACTTTGTAGCTGCAGAACTTGCCTCACCATAAACTTAACATTTTCTCTATCTTCCTATAGGAAATATGCAACCATGAATTTCTTGGGTTTTGCACTTTGTGTGAATGTTCTTCACTACATTAAAAAAAAACACACACACACAACAAGACAAAAAACAGATCTAGTGCAATGAATTAGGAATTTAGCCACTTTTCCATAGCTTCATCACAGACAGTAAATCTCCCACACTTTCTGGAGCAATCTGTCATGTACAGACTGATGAATTTTGTGAATGAGAATTCCTGGAAAGAGTTTTGTCTGCACAGACTGATTGGTTAAAACTGCAGTAATGTAGAAAGGTTGTAATGTTGCAAGTCAAGAGGTTGATGTCCTATCTTGGGCTACCCTTGGTACTTTCCAACCCCCTGAGAGCCAGCCATTCCTTACCCACTTCTCTGTCAGAACTAATGCCATTTGACAAATAGAGGCTAGGCACTAGGCTCTAAAAAGCCCACTCACGCACCAGGGACAGATCCTGAAGTTCAAGCTAAACAACTGTCTTGCGTATCCAGAGGGCCTAATCCAGTCCCACTGGGGATCCACAGCTATTGGTCCACAGTTCATGGGTTTCCACTAGTTTGGCTGTCCGTCTCTGTACGTTTTCCTATCTCAGCTTTTTGTTAACAATGAGAGCAACACATTTTCACACTATGCAGAAGGATTAGTCCACAGCCATATTTCATCTCCCCAGGGAGATCCATGCATTCCCCCCTAAAGCCCTCTTTGCTACTTAACCTCTCTGAGTGTGTGAATTGTAGCATGACTATCATTTACTTAACAACTAATATCCACTTATAAGTGAGTACATATCATGTTTGTCTTTCTGGGTCTGATTTTTTTCTCGTTTCATTCAATTGCCTGTAAATTTCATGATGTCACTGTTTTTTTTTTTGGGGGGGGCCAAATTAAAAAAAACTTTATTAAATTTTTACACCGGTGAGTAATGCTCCATTGTGTATATGTACCACATTTCATTTATCCATTCTTCAGTTGAGGGGCATCTAGGTTGTGTCCAGTTTCTGAATATTATGAATAAAGCCACTATGAACATAGTTGAGCAAATATCCCTGTGGTAGGATGAAGGATCTTTTGAGTATATGCCCAAGAGTGGTATAGCTGAATCTTGAGGTAAATCAATTCCCAGTTTTCTGAGGAACTATCTTATTGATTTTCATAGTGACTGTACAAGTTTGCACTGCCACAAGCAATGGAGGGGTGTTCTTGCTCCACATCTTCTGCAGCATGAGCTGTAACTTGTGTTTTTGATCGTTGTCATTCTGACAGGTGTGAGATGGAATCTCAAAGTCATTTTTATTTACGTTTCCCTGATGGCTAAGGATATTGAACATTTCTTTGTTTCTCAGCCATTTGAGATTCCTCTATTGAGAATTCTATTTTTAGATCTGTACCCCATTTTTAAATTTGATTGTCTGGTTTGTTGATGTCTAATTTCTTGAGTTCTTTATGTATTTTGATTATTAGCCCTTTGTTGGATATAGGGTTGGTGAAGATCTTTTCCCATTCTGTAGGCTCCCGTTTTGTCCTATTGACAGTGTCCTTTGCCTTACAGAAGCTTTCTAATTTCACGGGATCCCATTTATTAATTATAGATCTTACCTGATTTTTGATAAAGAAGCCAGAAATACACAATAGCAAAAATAAAACATTTTTAACAAATGGTGCTGTTCTAGCTGGATGTCTGCATATGGAAGAATGCAAATAGATCCATATCTATTAACCTGCACAAAACTCAAGTCCAAATGGATCAAAGACCTCAATATAAAACCAGACACATTGAAGCTGATAGAAGAGAAAGCAAGTAATAGCCTTGTATGCATTGGCACAGGAGATAATTTCCTAAAGGGGAAACTCTCTTAAAGAGTGGAAACCTTTTTTTTTTTAATACACAATTCCTAGAAAGCCAGCAGAAACGTAGGCACCTGTAGGAATGAACAATCTTTGAGTTGGTCCTGGGTCATATCTTTGTTCCTTTTTATATAATCATTTTGAACCTAATTGGCCATTTTTTTCTTTTAATTTAAATCCAACATCTAAAGAGAGAGGGGTGATGATCTGGAAACAATCCAGGGTAGCAAGCTATAGACTTTTCACATCTTACCAATGAGAAGGAAAGAGAAGAAAACAAGTCTTTCAAAAAATAGATGAAACATATTTGGTTAAAACAGTTTTCCATAGAAGCAACATAATATCAGATTGAAGGAATGATGTTATGACAACTCTGAAATAAGGAAAAGAAAAATTTTATTCATTTAATTAGAGAAATGTGAAGAAGGAATGTGGCCCATTATAAGGGAATATTTATTCAAAAATACTGTGAAGACAAGGAACAAATCCTAAGGCATGCCTATTTATAAAGACATTTAATTATATACAACATTTAAAATGCCATATTTACTTGCATTTTATGAAAGTTCTACTTGATATAATTCTTTTTTTTTTTTTCTTATTTTTTTTTTTTTTTTTTTAAAGATCTATTTATTTATTATGTATACAGTATTCTGCCTACATGAAGGCTTGCAGGCCAGAAGAGGGCACCAGATCTCATTACGGATGGTTGTGAGCCACCATGTGGTTGCTGGGAATTGAACTCAAGACCTCTGGAAGAACAGCCAGTGCTCTTAACCTCTGAGCCATCTCTCCAGCCCTTGATATAATTCTTAATTCAGTACAGATATGTCAGATGTAGTTTGTAGGGACTGTGGTTAAGAACTTGAGTAATATTTC